GTTTAAAACTTTGATGCTGAGCATAAAACACTTTATCTGTATTAGTTCATGAATTCTTAATGCTGACATGTAAATAAATCCATATTTATCCAGACATGTTGTCAGAACCTTTTTTCACTGATTAAATGTTTGATTGTTTCTAGAATAAAGATACAATTTGGTGATACAAACATTTTATTAACCCTAATATTTAATGATTAAAATCTACAGAAACTAAACAGAGAAAATACATTAAGATATGTTTACTAATAAAGGAGATTTGAACAAAGAGTTAAATTTAATAAAATGAAAAACCCAGTGATTAAAGGAGAGCAGCAGAGCTTCCCATGGTTCATCTTGCTTGTGTTGAATCTCCAACAACACGATGAAGCAGGTCCACCAGAGCCACAGACACCAGCTGAGGAACCAAACCATGAACACCACAAGGTTTGATCTGATAAACATCAGTCCCTGCAGAGTTAAAGAGCCTGGCTGTGGAGAGAGTTCCCTCATTTTGATGGAGTCATAGCAGGAAGATTAGAGGGAGGGAGGGTGCCAATACTTTTCAGGGAATATTTCAAAACAAAAGCTCCTTTATAAAAAGGAAGAACCAGAATAAAAGCATCATGTGGAAACGTTTTCATATCACCACTAAGTGATCATTTACAGTCATTTTAAACCATTTCTAGACCACCTTAGTAGAACAGCGCCACTTTGGATTTAGATTTTAAAAAGTCTTTATTATGTTTTTTGCCTACTGTAATGTATTCTTTGTTGTTTTTAATGATCTCCATGTTTTATTTCTGCTTTGTGTTTTCATTTCTGAATGTCTCTATAACATTATTTGCACGTTCACCTTTAGCAGGACTCCAAACCACACCAGATGTTTTACCTCATTGAGAGACAAATAAAACAAAGCTGAGGTCTGAAGCATCATGTCGGCCTCAGTTATCCTTTCTAAAAGCAGTTTGTCCGCTCACTCAGGACACAGAGGTCTCACTCTGGGTCACTTAATGAAGGCTGCTTCCATCTAGGAGGAGAAGACTGGCAGGTAGAGAAACACCTGTCTCTAAGGTGGTAGAACCTGCTCAGTCCACTAGAGGGCNCCTTCAGGTGAGAGTTTATTATTGCTCAGTGTGAGTAACTGGATTCTGTGATTTCTTTTGGAGCTCACAAATGATTCCACATGAATGTTAGTATAGTTTGCTTGATTAACTTATTTGGTTTGTTGGCTGTTATCTCCACCTGAAATGTTCAGTATTATGTAAGAAATGTGTTTGCTTTGTTACAATAAAATTAGGGCTGCAACTAACGATTACTTTCCAAATCGATTAATCTGTGAATAATTTTATCCAATGATTAGAGTAATAATCAGAAAGCCAAAGGTTCCTTAAAAAAGTTTTTTTTTTTAAATGAAATTAGACCAAGTGAAACAGAAATGTTTCCTCTTGAGTTCTGGATGGACATTGAGAGACGAAAACATTATTTTATCTTAAATGCAAAATGTTTATGTGTTTCTTCACACTGTATGTATAAAGAATATATCTGCAAAAATCTCCTATATTATATAAAAATGTTATTAGTTTCTTAGTTAGCAAATTGTGCAAAATGGCAATAAAATAATTAAACTCCTATCAGCTTTATAGTCCACATTCTGAAGATATATTAGAATCTGTCCTTAAATTACGAATTTACACAATAACAGATAAAAACCTTTAGATAAACCAAACATTACCGCCACATATCTGACTCATTAGACATTAAAACAACTATTTTCATTCATTTCAGAAGGAACTATTCAAAGACTGGATTATATTAAACTGAACTTCCAATTTTCACCACTGTTTGGCGCCAAGTAACTTTTCCTCTGATCACGTAGCAGCCGGCTGGCTTGGACTCGCAATGCATCCTGGGATATCCAAGGATAGCCAGGATACATTGGACCCGTCCTTCAAATCGGGCTAAAAGAAGGACGCATTTTAAGGCCGCAGAACGAGGACTCTTGGAATCTGACCAGACCTCGGCGCCGCGCTATGACATCATCGGCCTTCCAATCTGGCCTTCTGAGGACGCATCCCATGAATTCGAACAGAGCCAAAAAGAGTTGAAGTTGCTGTCAATGTGTTGGCTGGCTTCTTAAA